GAATTGAGGTATGTAGGTCGTTTATGAAATTCGTACTTATGTGTTCTAAATGGTACTAAATTTGGTACAATTTGAATAGAGCTGGAATCTAGAAATTTTATGTTACAATCGCTGTTAGGGTGTAGGCTTGGGATATGTAGGAAGTTTTGGACATTTGTACTAATGTGTACTTAATGGTAATAAATTTGGATTTGAGTGAACCGATAAAGCTGGAACACTGAAATTTAGAAATAAGTTTACTTTTTGGGTTTAGGATTGGGATATGGAAGCATTTTTAGAAATTCATACTTATGGGTATACAATTTGGTACAATTTTAATTTTGGGTGAGCTGGGATTCTAAATTTCGAGTTTGTATCATTTTTGGGTTGTAGGATTGGGATATGTCGGAAGTTTTGGGAATTCGTACCAATGTGTACTAAATGGTTCTAAATTTGAATTGGAGTATGTATGAAGTTTTAGAAATTCGTACTTATGTACTAAATGGTACCAAATTTTATACAATTTGTATTTGAGTGAACCGGTCGGGCTGGAATCCTGAAATTGGGAAATATGAATTTTATTGGATTGTTGAGGTGGTTTCTTACGGAAATTTATAAAAGTGTGTGCTAAATGTTTCTAAATTTGGTAACATTTGGGTGAACCTAATAGTATGTTTACATTTAACCGGATTTCGTCAACCCAGTGGGTTTCACATGTCAATTCCTTTGCATATACGTCGAACAAATCCTCATGAAGTAGATTACCCCGGTAAAAAGTTCTAATCTATATGCCGTTTAAGGAGCTCAAATCGTATAATTTGATACAAAGGGTACTCAAATTGTATGTATGGTCGATATTGGTGTATATGATGATCAGTTCTTCTTACATATTCATTTTCCCGCCAAAACAACATAATATTCGATGACATTTTTAAATATTTCGCTAACGGAGTAGCGGTGATGTGCTACTATTTACTAAAATTATAATTTCATGCCTGTTGATATTATTTATCATTTACATATATATTGACATTTCGTGCCACTTTATGATAGAAATGAACAAGTCCACACAAACACATGTTCCAATACTGGCAATTACATAATCCGTGAATATGGAATACTACAAGGCTTTAAAGTTTATTATCATTTTCAATACAGAAATGAAGAATATTCACTTCGCACATTCACATTAAAAACATTTATATACTATAGCATAAAAATTTCCAAATATGACTAAGAACGAAATTCATAGTCAGCTTATAACAACATTATTTTTGGAATTTCAAACCAAACTCGGAGAGATTATTTCCAGCTTAAAATAATACATTTTCACATAATTTTGAAATATATATATTTTTACACGATTTGTAAACCTATAAATAAACTAGTCCGGGGGACAATTTTTAATTAGAACTAAATGTGGACAACTAAGAACATATTTTTAATTCGATCTCTCTCACAGACACACGTAAACATCAAAGGATAGAAATATAAAAAAATACAAGGAAGGGAAACGTGAAAAAACAACATTTGTACTTATGTAAGTATGTATGCATGTATGTCTCTATAGCATATGGAATGCACCAACGTTGACATGTCATCATCATGGACAAATTATCGCATTTCCATATTAAAGGCTTCCGGAAAAATATCCAATGATGCACAGAGGGAGGCTTTAGCTGCTGCCACTGCTGTTGTTGTTCTGATTGTGAAACATTGCAATCATCCTTTTGTGAATCCTTTTGCTTTTTCGATGTGGTATACATAGATATGTGTAGGTATTGGTGCATATGTCCACATTAGTATGTATGTGACATATATGTGTAGATAGAAAAGAATGCCATTTGATGGCTAAGAAAATTCACTATATTTTATGGACTTATTTCAAGTTCATGAATAGGTATAGTAGGTGGTATCGTAATTTTTTTAAGAAACTCGAAAGCGAGCTATAGTAGCGCCCATTGAAGGTATGTTATAATCTATTAACGAACTTTCATTACTCGGAGGAAAATATTAATTAAATAGCATATACCCGCTATACCATTATTAAATTTTTAGAACCATTTAGTACATATTTTCTCCTATAGTACGTTTTTCAAATCTAACCCTGCACACCCATTCCGACCGCAAAAGAAATCTAATTCTATACTAAATGTGGTGTCATTTTTTATCCTTTGTACTCTTGTAATACTTATTTTGGGAAAAAACATAGCTTCACCCAAATCCAAATTGGGTATCACTATAAATTTCCATAACATATTAATATAAATTTCCTTTAACAATCCTTCACTTCCCATACACCTCAATCTTAATTCAAAATTTCAAGATTCTATCGGTTCACCTAAATCCAATTTAAATCACATTTTGTACCACTTAGAACACATAATCATGCAATCCAATTGAAATCATGAATTAGCTAAAATCTTAATTATAAGGTAATGCTAAAAAAGCAACCCCAAACAAAAACCCATTTCATATTTGACACAACCAAAATGTGTACATTTTGTTGTCACATTAATTTCATCATCATCACATAAATCATTTTTTGTATTAACATATTATGTTATTTTCACAAAATACTGCATATGTCAGGAAAACTAATCAATCTGCACATTAATATCGACCATAAATGAAATTTGAGTACCATTTAGTACCAAATTTCATGATTCGAGCTCTAAAGGTTCACCTAAATCCGAATTTTACCAATTTTAGTTCCATTTAACACACATTAATATACATTTCCATAAGTACCCACCTCAACCATCCAACAGAAATCATATAACCGATTTCATTTCCATTGCTTTCCACTACTTCATATAATCCAATGAAAAGCTTATTTCACCAATTTCAGGATTCCAGACTTATCGGTTCAACCAAATCCAAATATTATCACTTCCTACTTAACCCAAACATACAGTGATCCTAAATCCAAGTTTCAGGATTAACCCACAATTCAAATTGTACCAAAGTAAGTACATAGTTATACCAATTTCCAAAACTTCCTACATACCCCAATCCTACACCCCCACAGTTATTCTAAATCCTAATTTCAGGATTCCAACTCCATTGGTTTAACCACAATTCAAATTGTACAAATTTCCAAAACTTCCTACATACCCCAATCCAACACCCCCACAGTCATCCTAAATCCTAGTTTCAGGATTCCAACTCTATCGGTTCACCCAAAATTTAAATTGTACCAAATTTAGTACACATTAGAACCAATTTTTAAAACTTCCTTCATATTTCAGTCTTACACCTCAACAGTGATGCTAAATCCAAGTTTCAGGATTCCAACTCTATCGCTTCACCCACAATTCAAATTGTACCAAATTTAGTGCACAGCAGTTCGAATTTCCAAAACTTCCTAAATATATATCAATCTTACACCTCAACAGTGATCCTGTTTCCAAATTTCTAGCTCTATTGATTCACCTAAAATTCAAATTGTACCAAATTTAGTACCATTTAGTACCCATAAGTATTAATTTCTTAAACTGAAGCATGACCTAGCCTACACCTCTACAATGATTCTGACTCCAAATTTAATTGTTCCCTCTCTATCGGTTCACCTAAATCTAAATTGTACCAATTATAGTACGATTTAGTACTTTTCGTACATATGAGTACACACTTTCAAAACCATTTCCTAAAAAAGGCCGTACATCTCAACCCTCTATCCATTCACATGCTACGAATTTGTACTAAATTTAGTACATTTTAGTACTTTTGGCATACTTATAGTTCGAATTCCAAAAAATCCTTTGCTTTATCTATTCTACACTCCATCAGTGACCCTCATTTAAAATTGGTGAGTTTTAGCTCTACTGGTTCGCCAAATACAAATGGTATCACATTTGCTTTACTTTTCAGTACTTTTCGTACCGTTCTAGTACAAATTTCCAAAAACTCAGCCTGATCTGTCACCTTTGGACCAAGAGTGACCCCCACCCAGAATTTAAAGATTCTAGCTTCAGCCGTTTCGTCTGGACGTTAATGAATCATTCAATCACTTTACTCTTTTATTAGTATAAATTTCATAACTCGAAGTCGCCATAATTCGAAGTTTTTATACCCTTCCGGATAAGTTGGAACGTATATTAAATACAACTCACCTCAAAATAACCATCGGAAACCCTATTAAGTAAATATATTCTTGATCGGAATAAAATTATATGTCGATTCCATGTTTCGTCTGTTCAAATCACGACAGAGATCGCAATAATTTAGATGTAGCTCTGAAATTTTGCACACACATTGCTAGAACTTGTAGGATGTTTTATATAGCAAATGGGATATATCGGTCAACGTTTTGGTATAGCCTACATGTAACGGTGCCCCGTAATATTCGGTAATTTGGATTATTTGGGTTGTTGTCGTCCTATTTAATGTTAATGATGCACAAAAGACCCCACGGATTCTTAGCTTCATTTTTTTTCGAATTTAAAAAATAGTTAAATATGAATGCGACCTAATAAATTAGCTTGGGGCACATATATTTTTTCTTTTGCATATTCGTTCGTATGTCCTTTTTATCTATCAAAGAACACTAAGACTTTTTAACATGACAGTTGAGTGTTTATGACACTGTGTCATGTTCCGCAACTCATTCATTTTCGTATAGTTTGTTTGCATCAACATACAAGTGAGTAGTCACTCGTAACTGGCATCTCCTACATGTGTATGACTGACTAAACGTTCCTCTTTTTTGCTTGTTTGGTTGGTATTCGCATGAAATTGCGTTGTTTACAATGCATCACTCTCTGTGTCATCATCATCATCACTAGCATCATGATGCTAAACTCCTCCCAATTGGTGTAATCGAACGAAAGGCTGGACAGCAAAATGCATAAAAAGTGAAATGCAAAAAATGCCTAAGACCGCTTTGATAAAACACACTGTATCGCTATTAATGTTGTTTCAAATCGATATTAAATTGTTACAATTTCAAACATTGAAATATTGAATTTGTCAGTAAAACTATTTCAAATAGGTTTTTAATTTAATTAAATGGGACTTACCGTCTTTATCCAATTATTCCAGCAGAATTTAAACTCATCCCGATCAATGAACTCATCTTCATTTGTGTCAAATACCGCAAATATTTCTTGCAACCGCTCTTCGGGCAGTTCGTAAATGTGCCCTTTGTCATTACGAAACAGTGCACGACATATTAAACTGAATTCAGCTAAACTTAGGCGATCGTCGCTAAAAATAAAAATAAAATAAATAGTTAATTTACAATTGTGAATTATAAATTATATGCTCGATATTTTTTCAGTTATTACTCAGTAGCTGTTGTGACAAAGTAAATATATTGATAAAAACAGATTTAGCAACTTCAAATATAGGAAAGTAAAAAACGCAAAAAATTAATATTTAAAGATTATTTAATCTAACTGTTGGTCAGATTGCATCCCAAGTGGTCCAACTTTGGTATATTCTTTACAACATTTCGGCAGTTATCTCATGAATATATCAATGTTGTCTTACAATCTGTCAATTGAAGCGGGATTGTCTGTATAAGTATGGACTTTAACATAGCCCCACATAAAATAGTGTAAGAGAGTTGTATCGCACGATCTAGGCATCCAGTCGTAATAAGCCGAATAAGCGCTTCAGTTTTTCGACGAACTTTCTTAAAAACACACAGGATTCATCATTTGATATGTTACCCTCCATTACAAGGTTTGTAATTACATTTGCAACACATGGAAATAGTCATGTGTTTAAGAGCGTGATTTAAAGTTTTGCAAACACATTGCTAATACTCCCAGGTGTTCGGTATTGAAAATATATATTGCTTCAATTTTTGTATTACCTTTCAAAATGTTTGTATTTTGAGGTATTTGAGGAAGTTTTTAACTCTATATTAGCCGAAATTGACGACCAAAAGTTTCAAGGTAGATCCATATAACTGCATCCAACATTATTCGGTATTTTGGTGTGCTTTGTGCATGTTTTTAACTAAATTGGCTGTAATTTTATATTTTAGATATTTCGTTTTCCCCTATCTGCAAATCACCATGGTATAGCTCACTTATGAAGGTCTCATATCGGGCACTCTATTCCATTGATATTATATTTAATAATTTAAAAACATAGTCAACACAGGTCTACTTCTTTGCTATGTTCTATATATGAAAATCCCAAAGCTATTCGTTTCGAACACAAAATTAGGCCCGGTCGTACAGAACGACTTTTTAACTCATTCTATATATTTATAATATATTTATTTTTTAAAATATATATTTTTTTGTCATCTATGTTCTTATTCAAAACCTGGTGGCCTTAAGTAATAGTAATACTAAACAATATCATAACACATAGTCACCTTTAACTATTTACGTATAACTCCCACATGAGAGTGCATACAGCCATATGATTGGTATACATTTAAAGGTTTACAACTCCTCTTGGATATCAACTTCTCGGGTATATGTCCTTCAGGAATTGGTACTCGTATATACTCCCCAGAATACAATTTTTGGTATTTTTCACATCAAAGCCTGGGTCCATTTGACTAAATATTGACCGATCTTCATCAAAACTGCCATGCTTTGGCCAGATTCCCTTCCTTGTGTAAAATTTCGTGGTGTTCGGGTCATAATTGTGGCCTCTAGAGCGACCAGAAAACAGACCAAAATAAAGTTTTTGGGATCATTTTGTAACGGATCATTACTAAAAACAATAGGGATCTTTTTTGGCCAGAACCTATCCTACATCCAAAATTTCGTGGCGTTTAGTCCATAATTGCGCCTGTATCGTGTTTACAAATTGTAATGGACAGACGGACTGGCACACCCGTCTAGATTGACTCAGCTAGTCGAGATATACCGATCGGTGTACTTAAAGGTGGGTCCAGGACCAATATTTCGCGTTACAAAATCTTGGGGCTGCACAAAGCTATAATACCCTGACAACATAGTTGTGTAGGGTATAAAAAGCAAATTCAATAAGTTTTGTTTTTATTTTATTAAGAATTTTGTAATTAATAAATCACCTTAATATTAAAAATTTAACTCCAATGCACTCACATTTGCAAGTTTGAACAATAGAGTAGAATTCGACTATTTTTAGTACTTACACCGGAGTTTTATATATTTAAGGTGTAATTTAAGGTCTAATTTCAGTACAATTTTATTTAGAGCATTCTTTGGCTGCCAAGATCGTTTAAATTGGTAGAGGCTGATTGGAAGCATATTTTGGTGTTAAATGTGTTATTTTTAAATGCATCTTCAGGACCTCTAATTTTACACAATTTAAGCCCAAGACAGAACAGATTCTTTCACTCAAGACCCGGATAAGCTCTTCCGTTGTTTTAAAATGTGTCTTCATGATTTTTTATTATTAGTTCATTTTTGATTTTTGTTCAAAACTTTGCAAATTGTTTTTAGTAAACGAGATTTAAATAATTTAAAACTTTATTTTCTTAAAAAAACTAATAAAACCCAGGAAAGAATTTAAAAAGTGTATTTGAAGAAAAGAATACAATTCTTTTCTTCAAATTACTTATAAAATGCCGACGTGCAAAAGTCAGTACATATGAGTTATTTTCGTGTAGGTGTGGCCGTGATGTGATGGCCATTCCATGGAAAAGTACTGGCAGGAGAAGACGAAACTCCGAATACAATCACGAACCGAAACTAAAAAAACCATACCTCAAATTTCGAATTCCTAAAATTAGGTATACCAAACATCCCGTGTAAAGTTTTTACAAAATTGAAAGCTCTGTGATTTCAACAGATAGACATTTTTGATCAAGAATATATACTTTATAGGGTCTCCGGTGAATATCTCGAACAGAAGTGACTTCAACATCGGAACTTTTAAACTCTTAAATGCTCCCGACATACATTTTAAAGCTAATTTCTGTTCTTTTCTTTAATTTTTATCACGGCAATTTATATTATTTCACTGCTCATATCGTTACACCGCATTTATTTGTAGACCTTATAAATAGCCAACAATTTATGACTCAAAAATACAATTTAATGCATTTTTATTTTCGAATATTGGAAATGATTCAATTCATTTGCGTTTAACGAAATGTTTTGTTTATTTTTTTGTGGAAATTCATGTCGTATTTTTAAATTAATTTTCACCTCAAATCACTTTATTTTTTTGTTGTGATTTGTATTGAATTGTAAATTTTCTGTTTCATTTTCTGTGTAATAAAAAACGTTGCTCATCGATCACTCACCCGTCTTTATCGAATGCCGTAAAACAAGCGTCCATTGCTGAACCGTTCGGATCGTCAATGACAATTGGCGGTGTTGGTGAGTCCATACTTTGATTTGGAAATGTGGCGCGCTGCACCTCAGGTCGGATTTATATATTTACGGGCACAGCACACTAGCTCACTTGAATCACCCACACATGCAACACACAGGCAGGTACACGCTTCAAAATTCAAGAAATTCGGTCTTCCGTTCGCAAAATGTAACTTTGAAACTGCAAGAAAACAAAAAAGAACAAAAAGGAGAAGGAGATTGAAATCAAGGATTATGAGCAAAAAATGTACATGCACACGGAAGATATCAAAAAATAAATATATGTATATAGACATTTGTTTAATATGTTCATAACAATGCAATTTATAAAAGTTTCCGTTTTATTTTTTTTTCTTATCGTCTTGGAAGTTAGGGGACAAACACACACACACACACTCAAAATGTACATGTAACTTCCTTTACTTTTTGTGAACAGTAAAAAAATCCTTTTATGAAAAAATTCACGCAAACACTTTGTAGGTGGTTTTAAAGTTGTTTTTCATTTTTTTTTTTTTTTGCCAACCTTCAAAAACTCCTCAAAATTCTCGATTTGACAGCGATTCCTCTGCAGTGTAACTGACTGACTACTGCAGCAGTGAGCTTCGTGTGTGCTATTTAATGAGTTTATCGGCAATGACTGATTGTCAGTTTTTTTGAAAATGTGATTTTAACAACTGAATGTTCAGAATGGTTCTGTTCCGTTACAAAGCTACCGACACTCGGAGGGGGAAACACCGTTGCGGGTGTACCACACACCACACCAATAATTTTGTATTAGAAATCAACAAAAGATAGACGGCACACCCACTCCCGCTCAACACTCTTCTTAACCCGACAACGGCAACCTCGCAACCAAACAAAATAAAATAGCAACAACCCAGGGGTTTTACATAAACTTTAAATGATACGGAACGAATTTTCATTACCCTTTTTTCGTGAACAGCTATTTGTCTATCGTAAATTAAATTTGAATATATTGAAATTTTGAAATAAGAGTATTGAAATATAAATGATTTCAATTGGTAATAGAATTAATTTGAAAAATACTAATTTTCTATTTTTATTTAAAAAAAAAGTAGTTAATAGATATATTTGACTTATACCACACCTCAGTTTCTATTAAAAAATGTTTTTTTATTGGAGCTTATTTTCCACTTGTAGCAAAGGTGGTCTACATTTGTTATTTTATTTTGATTTTAATTAATTTATTCGAATTGTCCACATCTTCTCTTTGGTTTTTCACAATTTAACCTTTGATATAAAAATTACATACTTCGAGAGCCTGGGATTTTGATTTATAGCCGATTTAGAAATATTTGATTCAATGTTTGGACATCGTAAAATTTCTTCGCAACTTAGAACACGTTTAAAAATAGAAATATCGATCCACTCCGTCCCATACCTCCTTAAAATAGCCAAACTTCTAAAGTAAATAAGTGTCAGTCCGTGTTGCTGACAGATATAACTCTCCGCCTATGATTTGCGGGGGTCTATGGAATTACTGTCTAGTGGAGCATTTGTATACCCTTTACCACACTGTCGTACAGGATATTATGTATTTGTGCATATGTTTGTAACAGGCAAGAGGAAACGAGATAGACACATGGTTCCTTTTGAGAATATGCATAGAATCCCTTTTTGAGTCGATTTATGCATGGTCGTCTGTCCATGTATGCTTGTAAACAATGTACAGGTCACATTTATATTCCTATTTGGATGAAATTTGGCACACGTCACTTATTTGACACAAGGACGAACCCTATTGAAATCGGAGAAAATCGGTTCAGATTTAGATATAGCTCCCATATATATATATATATATATATATATTCGTCCGAATTTATGTAAATGGTCTAACAAAGTCCGTGTATATATTTCTATTTGCGCGAAATTTGGCATAGGGTATTGAATTGAGGCTTGAATGATGTCTACTAATTTTCATCCGATTTAACCAAATTACACCTAGAATACCTGTATTTGATTATTTCGTCATGTCTACAGGATATTGTACATATGAGCATCTCTGGTATATGCCAAAAGAGGTGAAGGGTATCATATAGTCGGCTCCGTCCGACTTTTGAACTTTGCTTACTGCTTCAACTTATAACAGCACGGGTAATATCAGCGTCTTGTAGAGTGTGAATTTGGACTAGCGAGAGGTGGTCTTGTTTTTGATTTGATTACTCAGAACATAGCAGCATTAGTTGGTCAACACTATTCTTCTCCGGATTTCAAAGTTGTTGTTATCAGATTTGTTTATGAGGTTGCCCAAGCATATAAAATCGTTCACTGCATCGAAGCTGTAATTTTCAAGTTCTACAAATGGTCCGAATCTACTGGACATCTTGCGCGTTGATATCATCAGCTTTCAATATCAAAGCAATTATTTTTAGTACTTCTCGGTACCGTATTAATACACGTATAGTACGAATTTGCCTAAACCGATTCTTATCGCACACATTCTAACCTATGACACATTAAAACCTATGACTGTAAAAAATATCATGAGTTTAGCTACAGCCGTATTTTCTGTGCGTTGATTATTGCAATTTTAGTACAATTTAATATTTTTGTGTCCTTATAGTACGAATTTACAAAACCCAGTTTCATCACACACCTACGTCCCAATACTGACAAAATTTCAGAATTCTAGCTTCAGTCGTTTGATTGTCAAGTTTAGTACTTTTACTAAATTTCATACCCTTATAGTACGAATTTCTCCAATCCAGCCTTAACGTTCATCTACTTATTAATACTGACCGCATAGGAAATTTCAGGTTCAGCCGTTACGTCTGGAATTTTTGAAAATTTCGTAAGTTACTTTTTTATTATAGTGTTTTATAAACGGAAATTGATCTTTTCTCAAATATCGAACTCTGAACACGTGCAAAGAAAGTTTCAAACTAGTTTCATGTAACGATAATCATCAGATATCCCAAATCCTTGTGTTGCAAATCTTCTAAGCAGTCAAACATTAATGCCCTTCAACTGAAGCGCTCGGGTAGAATAAAATTGCCTTCGATCATTGTCTTAAGTCTGAAATTCATAAAGTAATACAAATAAACAAAATCGGAGTCGAGTTGTTTTATTTTATTTTTTGTTCTCTTCGCATAGTAACATGACTTTTATTACAAAGCTTAGTTGCCGACATGTGAGTGTGTGAGTTTGACATGTACAGATGACCCTCTTATAATACAAAATTAAGAATTGCAAACGAACTAGCCATAGCAGTCACGATAGTTTCCCATTACAATGGAAAACATTGTATTGTAAATATTAAATGAAATACCGGTACCACGACGTGCTCGCAACGTTCCCCAAGCTCTACCTGTATCAATTCGACCCCATCCATTTTGTAAACAAAATCCACAATTCAATCTGGCGTTCTGCTTCATCGCAATTTTATTGAAATAACAAAAAAATCTTTGCAATCAATGGGGAAATCGGTTGTCATAGTGACAATAACGTCATGCCGTTCGTCCCCGAATTCGTTGGCGGACTATGACGTTATGGCACAACAACAACAATGTAAAGACGGAACGGTTACCTGGATTTCAACGTTGGGTGAGAACTATGAAAGTTAAAGTGAAACAAAATTTGAAATACCCCATGCTAGGAGAAGAAGAAGATGAAGACGAACAAAAATGGGTTTTATGAGATCATATCAATAACTCACAATTCAGTTGCGGTTGTCTCAGAGCTATTAAAAACAAAGGGTTTAAGTGGCAATGTTTTGTTGTTGTTGCTATAAAGCTTAACTGGAGCCTAGTGACAAATGTCATGGCCATTTCGTTTCGAGTCGTATGTAAACGCTTTACATGTTTACGACTTGAATTAATCATGCTCTTAATTTATTTTGGTTTGTGAAGAAAAAGGGGATTAATGAGCGGAGGACAACAATTTGCCTTAAATCGCATTATATCCTTCTCATGTAGGGTATTTTATGGGAATCGTAATTTTTTTGTAATACCCTACCTATTTTGATAAGCAATAGTTGTTTGATAAGATAGATAGAGGGGCTAGAAATTGCACATTGTAAATTATTTTTGTGATCAATTAAAAATTTATTAACAGTTTATCTGTTCAGAATTTAGCGCTTATTATTTTTAAATCAAAGTCCAAGGACGTTTGAAATTACGTCAAAGGCCTTAAATACCTAGGAAATGGGACGAAATATTATGTGGGGGCCAAACCAAAACGTGATCTTTTATTGGACATTTTCTCCAAAGATGTTTTTCAAAATCCAAGATCTTTGAGAAAGAAAATTTTAGATATGATCTATATCTAAAATCCTCTACATAGATGTTGTTCACCATCCATGATTCCGAAACACCAAATTACAGACACTTCTGTAGCAGAAAGTAGCTAAAACATTCAAAATATCGAAAATTGGGCGGGACCCTTATATGGGAGCTATGTCGGAACATGAACCTATATCTAACAAATATGTTGTTTACTCTTGAAGAATCAGGAATATTAATAGTTGTATCAATGCCCTATCTTAAATTTCAAAAACATTGGAACTGATCCGTCATTCAACTGAAAGTATTTTGGTCTCGAAGACGGTAAATAATTTCAGAACTTTCTTGAAATGTTTCACTTTGCAAAACCTGAGTTTTTCTTTTGACGTCGGGCAAACTGTGTTGGCATGACTGTCGGTTATCCAATAAACCAAAAAGAAAAACCCATGGCGAAAAGTTTTGTAGCTTTACTAGTATCGAAAATTTGCTGAAAGACAGGCATACATTAAAAATCGTGATTTTTGAGTTAATGTTGCAGAATTGTTCGCTATATCAGACTTCAGTTGTGTAAAAAATTCAGATGAATATCACACTCTGATTGAGAAGCCATTTACTTCATTTGCTCCTTTAAGGTGTAAGTAAATTGAAATTGTTAAAATGCATATTCTGCAAAATCGATGTTTTTCGAAGGTTTCGAAGCTGCTTATTTCAGGTGCTCTAGTGACGTTTTTCATTTACGCTCGCATACTAGTCTGAAGTTTTTAAGAGTAAGTTCAGGGGTTGTACGACGAAGCCCGTCACGTCCAATGCATTCGACTTTGCTGTGATATTTGGTCTTGTTTAGGGTATTCGTCCAGCATGTAGTGA